TTTCCTGACAATTTTTTAACATCGAGTACTGAGAAGCAACTTCCCTCTTGTATTAGACTGCATTATCTCCCTTTATGAATATTTTCCTTAAGATCTAAAATCCTCTGAAGCGATCCTGAAATAGCATTTGCTGCAAGAAAAAGAGGAAAAGAAGCTTGGTTTCCAAAGTTACAAGCATTTATTAACTCATGCGCTTTATTCCAAGATTTCCTCTACCTCCCACACTTCTGTTTGTAGTTTCTACAATGTTTCTCTTCTAGTCTTCCAGATTCTTTTTTTCTACTCAGCTTTTCACAGGACATGCAACTGATGGCGTCTTTACTAGGTAGTGAAAATTTGTCATATGACAATTAAAAGCCCTTCCTGAAAACTGCATTTCACTCAGTACCTAGCCAAACAACTGTAGTTATAATCTACAGGTAACTACAACACACACCACAGGAAGTAAGCACACATTTAAAACCTGATCTTTATCCTTTACATCCTCACAGAACATACATAATCAGTAGCTGAAATATTACCAGCTAACTTTGGTGCATGAAAAAAAATCTCCTGCCACTGCTTGGGCTCCTTATGGGAGATCTGTGACATTCTGGAGGGAAAGCTGGAGGGGGCACACAAGTACACTTGAAATGAAACTAGACGCCTCCAGTTGTGCCACTGAATCAATCCTTCCTACCCGTTTGAGACTCTCCTTTCTACTTCCTGCTTTCAATAATTTGGTCCTAATACTATTGATTTCAAAGTAAGCCTATTTTTGAGGAGTATAAGCCATATGTTAACTGGAAAAAAAAAAGTGAAAGTCACTACTGAAGGCAGTGATTTTATTCAGCCACACCAGTAACTCACTTATGTGCCCAGTGGTAAACAGTAAATAATGAAAGCAAAACCATTTTAGAACAAAAGAACACTTTAGCTTCCACTGCTCATACTGTAGCTAAGAGTTGTGTAACATAAAATTCATAAAAATTCATATGCAACAGTTCATTTCAGTGTCCTCCTTTTCCTAAAAACAACAAACATGCAGATAACCATGATCCAGAAAGAGAGCCTTCAAATCTTTGAAAAAAATTTATTTTTTTCTTCAAGACTAAAACTGCTCATTTATTCACTATTCAAAGCCCAATATCTTGTTGCATTTCAGTTTCTATTTTAGCATTCTGATTTTTCTCCAATAAAGAATAAAGAAAAATTACACCCTTAAAAGACATTAATTCCCCCAAATAGTCAGGATTTAAAATATTAGTCTAGAAGTTGAAAGGTACAGTTGAACTTTGGTAACTCTCAGATCCTCCAGAGTACAGCATATGGCTACTCTTGGAAATTTCAGAATAAAGGCAGATAAACCACATCTGTACTAAGACAATGCAAAATTCATAACAAGAATGAGAGTTTACAGCAGAAACAACTCGCATTATCACCTTACTTTACATATGTAAACCAAGGCAGAGAGAACTTCTCAGAATGAAACAGTGAACCTAAAGGAACAAGGAAAAGACAGTCATGCTCTGCGGCACTAAGCCTGAAAATCAAGCACCCCTCTGCAAGTTTAGTATAGATTTGTGTAAATATAAATGTCTGCCTACACATGGCTAAATATGCTATTGAATCCTCTGCTGGAATTCAATATGTAATCTTTTACATTAAACTATAACAGCTACAGAATGGATTGATACAACATAAAGCAAAGAAACTCCTTGGCAAGCGAAGAAAAAAAAAAAAAGAGCCATTAAACAGCTGCAGGTGGGAGAGAAAGGAAAGACACATCCATAAGGATGGTCAACATAAGAGCACTGGATAGCTTGAACTGGTCACACAGTACATTGACTTATATTACACTATTAGAAAATACTAAGTTATATTTTGTTGCTTCCTATTGCTTGATAAGAGCTATATTAAAAAGCCAAGAACAAAAATTGATTTCCTTCGTAGTTGGCTTATTCCAACAAAATCCTTTTTTTTTCTCCTCTGTTTTCTAAAGTGATAGTCCCCTCAAAGGATACCTACAATCACACAGGTCCTTAGAAACCAACATCACACATATGAGGAAAAAGCCAGCCACGGACTGCTGACGTGGTTATTCTACAATTAGCTATGGATAAATCTCATGGAGATTACCCAAATAATACACTTCCTTACCTTAATAAAATTCACTCACAATTTCCAATATCAAATTCCCAATAAAGAAGAAAATAAAATAACAAAAATGCACTTTCATGTTATTTTAAGACATACACAAAATTCTAAGCATTTTATGCATTTTTTTTTTTTTTCTGCAGAACCAGTCACAAATGAATGTACTCCACTCAACGCAATTCTAGAGAAACAAAACCTAATGTTTATCATTTTGAGACAGGTACATTAAAGTTGATATTCCACTGGTGCTGTGAGGTTATAACGGTAATTATGCAGCACACCTGTGTCATAAAATGGCAGACCCGAGTGCTGAGAAAATTTGCATCCATGTAAACTGTCCTGATAGTGTAAAAATTTTCTGAAAGGTAACAGAAAAGTCTGTTATGAACTGTCATTGAATTTAAATGACCATACAGTTTATCTCTTGCCCTCTGGGCAAATGTGTAGTACACATCAGAATCTTTTTGTCACGTATCCACTTGTAAAACATAAAACCAGCATAAAATGACTGTGACATAACAACACAGTTTATCTGTCCACATTCATTCCCAACACAAATTGTAATTCTGATTTTTTTTTTGTCCCAGAAGTAAAAATTTAAATAAGATGAAAAAGTAACAGACAACCAGTGACTACACAATGAAACTGATGCAGCTTAAAAAAAAAATCAAGCAGAACAAAAAAAAAAAAAGCCTCCATTTCACAACGCATTTCCTACAAAAGTAACAGAGAGAATATTTAGAAATAAAAAAGCTGCTCTAGTTGTGCAGAATCTGTCCATTTTTAATTTCTGTAACAAAACAGGACTTGATTCACATGTACAAGCATGGGGGAGACATCCTTTTATAGCCTGAGGAGCAACTTAGCCATTAACTGCATTTGAGGTCTGCAAAGATGCCCACTTCTCCCCCACCAGCTATGTCCTGAGTCTTCAAGCTCTGTGGGATCAAGTGTGACACTCTTGAATGAACCAGGACATTAGCTCATTCCTATCCCCTTTCCGGGTTGTTTCTGGACAACAATACTAGGTGCCCAGCAGGGATGGAGCTGGGTTTCTCTAGCTGACCCAAATAAATTAACCAAAGTCTGTTAACACATGTACAGACACAAAATATTTTATCCCGAAACTGAAATTATTCAACAAGTCAAATCTCTGCTTATATCATCACTTTATCCTTAGAAATATGTATGGGTCTTTTGGTTGGCATTTTTTTGTGTCCCTTTTTTTTTTTTTTTTTTTTTTTTGACAACAACTGGGTGTCTTTACCACACAATGAGCAGAGAAAACAATTGTTTGGAAAAAGCAAATTTAGTGTAGATATTACATTTATCCTTCACCTCCAGTTTACTGACTGAAAATTATTTTGTATTTTCTTGTCCTTTTCATTTTTTATGTAGACACTCAAGCCTTTCTTTCCAGTAACATTCAAACTAGACAGAAGATCAGCAACAGCATGTGTAATATATGTACATAAGAATTTACAATCACCATTTAGAACCATCAATCAATTGATGTGAATTAGATCTTATCTCTATCTAAACTCTAAACAGGAGGGGTATGTTTAAAAAACAGCAGTATATTTAAAGACCAACAGTAGCTAACAGCAATTTACCAAATTAAAAAAAAAAAAATCAGCAAAAGTAGAATTGGAGGTACAATTCACAATTATTCTGCTTTTTCTTTTTCTTTTACATTTTTATGTAGACACTCAAGATTTTCAGTAGATTTGGGAAAAACGTTAATTATGAACATTCCAATTAGGAAACAGTCAAGCGCTCAAATGCACCACTGCTCCTAAATTGCTTAACCCAGAGGGGCTGACTATCTCACCTGGTAAGCTGCCTCCTTGTGGAGTACCTAACTACATGAACAGCTTCAAGGAAAAAATCGGTGTTGTATGACTATAGGAAGACCACGGATATTTGCTAAAGCAAAAGAATGCTACTGTTGTTGAGTTCTTGCTTGTCAACACACTAACTTTTAATATTTTAATTTTTTTTTTAAATCTTTATTTCAGAAGGTTTTCTCAAGCTATCTAAACTCATAACTTCAATATTAAAAGAGTGTAGAAATATACAATTGAAAAGATGGTAAGAAGTAATCAGGGGTACTTTCCTCATACCAGTACAATCCAAATCTTCATAGATTGCCATAGATGCTTGAGATGTTTTACAGACAAGCAAAACAACACATTTCTCTCTGCTTCAAGAGCTTTCATGTTTGGATTAGACACAAAAAACTAAAGAATGAGAATAAAATTAAGCCAAAGGAAAATGACAGATCTGTGGTTAAATCTGAAATTTGTCCTTAATTTTGTTAGATAATTTAAAAATTATTTTTCTAATAAATAAATGCTATGAATAGTGTCCACCAATGAAGTACAAATG